AGAGCAAAATATATATATATATATATATATATATATATATATATCAGCGATTCAGCAGTGACTTAGAGTTACGAATTATGTATTTTACTAGCCAAGCACGAGTTATTTGTTAATTGTGGCTTTCATCCAAGTTAGAATACTGCCATATAAGTAGTTATTTATGAATTTTATGTGTGTATAAATTTACTAAGTGCTTTGCATTCAAAAAGAATTATGTTAATTGTCAACCACACTACTTAAAAGAGAATTTTATGTACATGAAGAGCATTCTATTCAAAATACTAATTTATTATATAAAAAAGTTTTATAACTTAAATATCACACTAAATTTCTTACTTTGTTTAATGTATTTTCTAATATTATCGTCTCTCTTTAAAGTTCGATATCTATTATAACTTTCATTCAATCGTCACAAATTTGATAGAATTTTTTTATATGACAATTTCATTCATTAATTAGCACTTTATTTAAGTCTTGATCTAATTTATAAATAGTTCATTTTTTGCAATCCAACCATTAATGAAAGTAGCGATTTGTAAGATTATTATGTAAAATCCTAAGAACTAAAAGGATAAACTAAGAGAATTAAAAAGAAAAAGATATTTTTTATTCATGAACTGATCCAAAAGTGAAAATAAACAATGATCTTACAAAATTATTAGTAAGGTCGATACACTTTATGTCTCTATATTTATTTAATAAAAAGTGGTTAAGAATTACTATTGTTTACTAAATTAACTGATGTTGTATTTGATTATCAAACTTTAAAGTTTTAAATTCAAATCTTATATTTATAAAAATAAATTTTTAATATTTAGTTTTTATCACTTAAATATTTAAGGGATAATCATCTAAGAAAATATATATATCAAATTAGATTATCACCTCTATGTTATAGATTATAGATAATCTACACCTTACAAGTGGACCATCACAGGGAAAACAAGAAAAGATTTATTCAAATAGTTTTTAAGCCAGGTGGGCTGTTGTGTTATCATCTTGGGCCTTCATAGTTGGGCTCCCGTAGTAATTAGCCTCCTAACAGACGATGCTTATATCAGTATTATTCATGTCGCAAAAGTTTTAACTTTTTTAAGTCTCTTGTGTAACAATTAACATTCTAAAAAATTTTAAAATTTTATTAATATTATTTCACAATTATAATTTTGTTCAATAGACATTTTTCCCATCAATTATTTACTTGTTTTGTTATTAAAACAAAATAATAAAATTAAAATTATCAGATTAAACCAAGATTTTTCAAATCTAAATTTATATTCATTAAATATTTGTTATTTCATCTGCGTTAACCTTAAAAATCTAGAGATTTAGAAAAGAGTGGTAAAAAATCCCAATTAAATGTTGAATCGCCGCACGGTATCATTGCAATCTCTTATTTAATTTAACAGGAAAAGATCATTTCAAATATATTTTTCTAAGATTTTCAAAGTATTAAATTTCATCGTTAATTTATTAAAACTAATTTTATGTTGATAAAATTTATTGAAGAACAAAATCTCGTTCGGTGCAAATGTGAATTTAATATCACCGGTAGTCTATTTCTAAATTTATATTAGATTATTTTAATTATTAGTTTAACGAACTAGTATGTTAATTTGTAATTTAGTTCAATTTAAATTTATTTGATCTGTCAAATTTAGTGAATTAGATCAAAATGATGTAATTTTATTTAAGTTATTTTTTTAAAATTTAATCTGACTTTATTTACAGAATAGTTAGATCAGTTTATCGAATTAGACTTAAATTGATCATTTTAATCATCCTTAATTAATTAGAGATAATTTATATTTGATATAAATTACGATTCAACCACGGTTAACATCTATATTTGATCCAAGCAAATACACTCCCCCTCCCCTAAAACTGATTTCCTGCTTTCACCCAACAAAAATATACACGTACCAACATGACAAAATTTTTGAAAGTGCATATTATTGTAACTTGAAACTCCCCATTTTGACTACCCCGGAACCAATTATACCAATTAACCAAATCCTTTAACCCAAGAACTAGCATCATCTTTGTAATTTCCATTCAGCAAATCCATGCTAAAATCCCTGATTAACTCTAAACCATAAAGCACTCCATAAACCATAAGCATCCAGATCCACTCTAAAACAATAAAGCCAAGAAAATTAGGACTTGGAGAGAAAGTCAAACACGCGTGAAAAC